TCTGTCTGTCTCTCTGGCAAGCACATGTGCCCTTTGGCAAAAATCTAAAAAATAAAATAAAATAAATAAAATACTATTTCACTAATGACAAGGACTCTATTGGAGGAGTCCAACCCGGTAGGGCCCCAGGATCTGTTTTAAGCCTTTGACTTTTGAGCACAGCTTGGGTCGATTCAGTATGTTGACAAGGCAGCTTGTTGTATGCTTCAGAGACTGTGGTAGCCTTGCTGGGAAGCAAACCCCCCCCCCCCGACTCCCTGATATACTACTATAAAAAAATTACATAGCTCTCTTATACATTCTGAGTATATGATAATATTTTCCAAAAGTCCCCCAACCGCTCCCCTTTGCTCTGACCACCTACTGTTAATTACAATGCTTCACTCTGGCACGGTCACAACAGAGGGTGTGCTGAAGTCACATCTAGGCAGAAATCTTCTTGACCTTTAGAAGGCCCTTCAGGATACATTTAACATAAGCTTAAAAATAACCTTTTAGGCTGAAACCGACCCAGGACACTCCTGCCCCACTATAGCTAATGTTCTAACAAAATACATAACAGTGGCACCACAGGCACAAAAGAATGTTTTAGGTATATCACAAACCCACCTTAAAGTTCTTCATTAACTTGTTAGTCACTTTACCACCAGTTGAAAAAGCTGTCCCCACCCTTACCAAGTGAACAATAGTTTCATTCCTTTAAAATATATTAGGATTCCTTAAATTAAGTTTTAGATCCCTATAAAATTATATAAGTTCCATTCTTTATTGAGATCCATAAGAACTAATATCTATACTTGAGGGGCCAGCCGGTGGCATGGTGGTTAAGGTGCTGGACACTCCCACATGGCCAACCACAGTTCGAGTCCCGGACCTGGTGGTTTGCTTTCTCACTTTCCCTCTCTCTCTCTCTGTGTCTCTCTCTGGTCAAATTAAAAAATAAATGAGTGGATAAATAAATAAATAATTTAAAAATATATATATCTATACTTGAGATTTTCTTTTCTCAGCATCATGCTGAGAATTCTTTGAGCGTTTAAGGGAGGCTCTAATTAAATATACAACTATTGACCCCGATTCAGAAGAGGGAAGGCTGCTTCTTAATGATAAATTTATCAGCCAAGCAGCTCCAGATATCTGTAGAAAGCTACAAAAACTATCCTTAGGACCTAGTGCCCCCTCAGCAGAACTTCTGAAGGTGGCCTCTTCAGTCTTACAATCGAGACCTAGAGGAAGAGGATAGGGTTAAGGCAAAGGAAAAGCAGAAGGAAAACAGGCAGGCTCAATTAATTGCTGCTTTGGCTGGGCAAAAGTCACCTCCTGGTCACCCTAGGAAATCCCTAATCACAAGATGGCTGTTGCGCCGCATCAGCTGATAATTATCTCTGCTTGCTGAAGCTGATTTTCTAAAACTGCATTCCATGGAGACCTGCCTAAATCAAAAGAACAACTGCGAACTGCAATAGACCCACCATTAATCCAACCCTGTATGAAACCTATGTTCCCTATTGTTAAAACTTTTATGAGCTGACAATTAGAACACATAGCCACTCACCCATTTACTTGCATGTATCACATTTTCAATAAAAAGGCACGATGATTCCTAGCAGTTGTCACTCTTCAGAGAGCAATCTCTTGGGGGGGTGTCCGACTGAGGACGTGCATGAAAAGGCACCGAGGCCTTTGTCTTCCTTTCCTGTGCCGCCTCCGACGAGTCAACCCATCCCCATAGAGGCTGGACCCTGGCACACTATGGCCTAGGGAAATATCCTGAGTGAATAGCCAGACCCAGGTTTTCTGGCTCTGGGGCTCTTTCCTTTCATCAATTTGACCCCAGGCTGTTAACTGGTGTGTGTGTGTGTAAATGTACGTATAGGCTTGGTGCACACATGCACATGCACACACACACAGCCAGTTCAAGTGCTTCCAGAAATAGAATCTGTCCGACATGAAGCCCACTTCAGACTTGATCTCATTTCTTGAGGCAATTCTGAAGGATTTTTATGTTGGTATGTGTGGAAAGTATGTTGGTATGTACACCTGTTTGAGGATAATGGAAACAGGATAATGGAAACAGCCAGTATTTCATTTTGTGTGCCCACCTTTGTTCCTCTCCTCTTCCTCCCTAGGTGCAAGATAAAGTAGAACTATCCAAAACCAATTTCCTCTGACGTGTCAGGTACCCATATAATTAGGCTGAGGAGAGATAAAAATTCATAAATCCACATTGGACTGATATCTCTTTTAATGGCTTTATACTAATTTGATAACTACAAAAAATTCTCATTTAAAATGAGATTTGGGCCCTGCTGCCTTCTTGAGGCCAAGGTTTCTTTCTTGGTGCCATTTCAGACCCTCTTCTTCGTTAGGTTGTGGTCTGCTGTTCTTGTGCCTGAATGTTAGTAAAGTGTGAAAGAGATGCTCCCTGGCCTCGGGGAACTCTGGGGAGCCGAACTAGTGTTAGAGCAGAAGCACATGTGGGTCTCTAGCTGGCAGGAAATTAGCTGAAGGCTATGAAAATGTTAGACAAAAGGGAAACTCAAGCGACTTTCTTATTTGAGTTCAACATAGGTCATAAAGCAGTGGAGACAACTTGCAGCATCAACAATGCATTTCGCCCCGGAACTACTAATGGACATGCAGTGCAGTGGTGGTTCGAGAAGTTCTGCAAGGGAGATGAGAGCCTGAAGAGGAGGAGCCTATTGGCTGACCATCAGAAGTTGACAGAGACCATTTGAAAGCAATCATCAAAGCTAGTCCACTTACACCTATATGAGAAGTTGCCAAACAGTCAATGTTGATCATTCTAGAGTCGTTCAGAATTTGAAGTAAACTGAGAAGGTGAAGAGGCTTGATAAGTGGGTACCTCATGAGCTGAACAAAAATTTTTTAAAAATTGTTAAAGTGTTGTCTTTTTCTACAGAACAACAAACTGATTCTCAATTGGATAGTGACGCCCAAGAAAAAGTGGATTTTATATGACGTCTGGTGATGGCCATTCAGTGGTTGGACTGAGAAGCAGCTTCAAAGCACTTCCCAAAGCTAAACTTAAACCAAAAAGAGGTCATGGTCACTGACCATCTGCTGCCAGTCTACTCCACTACAGCCTTCTGAATCCCAGGGAGACCATTATATCTGAGAAGTATGCTCAGAAAAATCAATGAGATGCACCAAAAGCTGCAATGCTTCCAGCTGGCATCCATCAACAGAAGGGGCCGTTTTCCATGACTACACTTGACCTCGCATCACAGAACACTTCAAAAGCTGAATGAATTGGGCTACAAAGGTTTGCTTCATCCACCATATTCACCTGACCTCAGGTCAATCAACCAGCACTTCAAGCATCTTGACTTTTTACAGGGAGAATGCTTCCACAAGCAGTAGGATCAGAAACTGCTTTCCAAGAGTTTGTCAGTCCCAAAGCACAGAATTTTACACTACAGGAATAAACAAACCTACTAGCAAAAATGTATTGATTGTAATGAATCCTATTTTGATTCATAAAGATTTATTTGAGTCTAAAAAAAATTAAAAATGAGATTTGGGTTCAGTCAGTGGTGTGGTGGTGAAGGTGCTGGATCCTACATGGCTGACTATGCAGTTCAAGTCCTAGGCCCAGTGGTTTGAGAAACACACTGGGTGTGAGTGCATGTGTGCCCAAAATCCTAAGAGCAAATTGGAGAAGGAATTGTAGTGTGGCCATCCCACTCAGGGGTGATTTCTCACTTTCCCTCTCTCTCTGGTGAGTGCACATGCACTCTAGCAAATTAAGAACAAAATTAGAACAAGATACCAAGTGGGAAGCAAACTTCAGAGGTAAATGACTTGAGATACTAATGGCAAACCTTCATATATCCCTGAAGAATCTTTTTTCCCTTGATTTTTTTTTTCTTTTTTTTGGGAGAGGTTTTTGCTATAGGGCGCATGTGCTCGCCAGACAGAGACAGAGAGACAGAAGTGAGAAATCACCCCCCGGGGGGAGGGCCACATCGCAATCCCTTCTCCTCCTGGGATCTTGGGCACGCACATACATGCGCCTGGCATGAGTTTAAGCCACTGGATCCGGGACTCGAACCATGGTCGACTACGTGGGAGTCCAGCGACATAGCCATTATGCTAACTGCTGGTCCCTTCCCTTGATTTTTTTTTTTTTCAAGCTTAATTCACTTTATTCTCGCTGTATGAAAACCCTAGGTTGTGGCTACAGCTGGAGCCTGGGTCCTCTGCACAGAGACTCTGGTGTGGGTCTTGACTAGATGGTCAGTGAATTCCTGATAGGGAGACTTGATGAACACGGTCTCTTTCCAGAGGTCAGGGGTCAGATAACTGTAGGTCTTGGAGATGGCATCAAAGGTGGCCTTGGCGAAGTTGCCCAGGGTGGCAGTGCAGCCCCGGGCTGAGGTGTAGCAGTCATGGATGCCAGCCATCATGAGCCATTGTAGTCCCCGAGGGTGACAAATGCCTTGAGCCTGGTCCGCTGGCCAGTGCTTGTCTGCTTCTGCACAGGCATGATCTTCAGAACCTCGTCCTTGAGAGACGCTCCCAGGAAGAAGTCGATGATCTCAGACTCCTTGATGGGCAGGGAGAAGAGATAGAGCTCCTCCAAGGATTTGATCTTCAGGATTTGATCACCAGGTGGCCCAGCTTGGTGACCGGGATCCACTCCTTATCCTTGGCCTTGCCTCTGCAAGCTCCACGGCCCTGCCCGCGGCCCCGGCCCCGGCCCCTCCACGGAAGCCGCTGCGGCCTCCTATCCCAAGACCCCCAGGGCCTCCGGGCCAAGCCGCTGCACTAGCGTCATCCGCCATTTGGTGTTCTCTCGGAGAAGTCCCTTGATTTTTTGACATCAGAAGAGAATCGAAGAGAAAGAAGTTGCTAACCTGTTCCTGTGTTATTCATGACTGCTCTTTCTCCAAAACTGCTTCCTACAATAAACTGGACAGGTGCACATTCTCATCTGAAGATTTGGAACTGAATGCAAGAGTTGTGCAAGTTTCTCAAATATGGCTGGATCTAAAACATGTCATTTCAGCAGCAATAAAGGGGTCAGATTCTGCTATAGAATCAAAGAAACAAAACAACACTTTTAAATGGTTACTCTCAGAATTAAATCACTGTAGAAAATAGAGAGTAGGCTGGTAAGACCTTAGGGCAAGGAAACAACAAGTCAGGAACTTCTACATTAGTTAAGATGTATAATCCTTAGACATGATCAAAGGCCAAAAAAAACCCCCAGCCACAAAACAGGACAAACACAGGGATAGCCTCTAACACTTAAATTATATTATTTCTTAGCCAATCAATGATCACTATTTTTCCAAAAAGTTGTATTATGCTATTTTTGTGAACATGAATAAAATTATATTTAAAAGCAACCATTTATTTTTATAATTTTTAGTTAAGATTTAATCATTTCCCCCCTTTTTTCTAAGACAGACTTTTGTTATAGGGCATGTACAGTCACTGGAGAGACAGAAAGCAAGAAATCACCCCCCTAGGGGAGATGGCCACGCAGCAATCCCTTCTCCTCCATCTCTCTCAGAATTTTGGGCATGCATGTACATGTGCCCAACCTGAAATTCAAGCCGCTGGGTTGGCCAGCGCATCAAGTCCAGCAACGTAACCACTATTCTATCTGCTGGTCTCAAGGTCGAATCTTTATGTAGGGGTGTGACTTGCCAGTTTGCCAACGATGTATAAATGGGATCATAAGGAAAACATGCCTCATGGAGGGTGGTGGTAACACATAAATCACGGTGCCAACATGCTGCTGTGTGTCTTTGTAATCACCATTAATTAGCATACAATGGCCTGCGTGCCAGGGCACTGTGACAAATGCTTTCCACGCATCCTTCCATTTAATGCCCCCGCCCCAGGTAGATACTATTCCACTGGGCAGGCGAGAAAACTGAGACTTAAAAGTACAATGGCTGTAGAGGCCCCACGGCTGCCGAGCCACACGGTTGGATTCAGGGGTCTGCCTCTAGAAACCACGGCTTTGGCTACCACACTCCTTTCCTTCACAAACCCTGGTCCCACGAAACGACAGTATTCTCAGAAAATAACACCAAATAAATCACTAGCAGTTTTTCACCCTCGAAACATGTCAGTAATTTTTTTCCTGTTCTGCAGGCGGGCTTCCTTCCTGGGTAGCAAGCTCTCTGTTTTAGCCTAAGTAACTCATGCAGACTGTAGGCTAGATACCTTACCAGCAAGGTTGAGGGAGGGAATGAAGTCAGACTATAATACAGCTGATCTGCTTCCTTTTTGTTACATTTGTTTTATTTCAAGTGGCATAGCAATCATCTTTAACACTTAACACAAAACCAAATGCTACCATGAATTTAGGCCCAAACTGCCTCCAAGACCTAATGGCACAAAGGTTTCCTAGACCAAATGGCTTTCCTGATTTTTTCCCTCTCCTCCCAGTGGTTCCCAGAGTTCCCTTTTCAAGGACTACATGAATAAATAACACCCTGTGGAATTCAACTTAATTTACTGTGGTAAAGTCCAGGGAAAAGGAACGTGTATCAATTAATTGAGCAATCTAGATATAAGTATGAATTTAAATTTAAGAAGAAGTGAATTGAGAGGACAACAGCCCAATTCTTGGTTTTAAAAATAAAAAAAGATAAGGACAAGTCACTGCCACCACAAGTGTCAGTCTTCCCTCTGTTGGCGGCCAATGGAACAGAGGCCTGACGGCGGTTCAGGCAGGGCCACACTGCTCCCCACACAGATCAGAGCTTCATGCTCACAGCATTTTCAGTCTTTGTCTCGTTTATCTGCTGCTGGAGGGTTTCTAGGAAGGCTCAGCAATGCTTCAATTTTCTTAGCATCATCCTCAGCTTGGTCTTTCTGTAGACCACTTTCAATTTCCTCAGAAAGGAGCTCCGTAACTTGCAGTCTGGCTTTCCTATGATCAAAGCATAAAAATGATGTATCAATAAGTACTGCTCCACTTTGAGTTCTTCTAGAGATTTAAAACAAAAAGGATAGTTCTCTTACTTTCCTTGCTTTGGCACACTTCAAATACGTCCTTCTTTCGCCTACCCTGGTTCCACTCACAAGCCAACTCTGCCTGCTGCATGACCAAAATGGACACTGTTGCAGCAGCAGCTCTGACCCCTGAAGAATCCCAGGACATGGGTCTGAGAGTCCCCCAGGTGATGCATGGAAGCCAACACACCCTGTGCTGATGTGAAGTCTGTCTGCTTGTCATCTTCCCAAGGGCCCGGGACTGTGGGAACTCTGCCACCAGACTGTGACCACTGTGGGCTAGGGCCGTAACATCAGTGACAGGGGTAGACAAAGGGCAGATAGGACAACACTACACATGTGTATTCACAATGAGTTAAAACCCAATTTCCAAATAATGGGCTAGTTTCTTTCGAAAGTATTAGGATCCTCTTTCTTAAGTAATTATTGGGGTCACCTATACAACTTCCTTCTCAACTCTTCACAGCCAGATTTTTCCAATCTTCCGTAACTATACCTAGTTGTCCACATTTTCTGCTCACTAAGGCACTTTTCTTAGACTCTCGATTTGTTTGTATTCCCTATATTATTTTCAAGCAAAGTAGGAGACACAGAAGGTAATTAACCATTCACTGAATTAACTATCCTTAGAAATACCAGACACATACACAATATTAAAACACATATACGTATTTTTGGGTTTCTTTTGTTTTCATTGTTTTGTTTTGTTTTTGAGAGGTTTCTGCTATAGGGCGTGTGTACTTGCCAGAAAGACAGAGAGAGAGAGAGACAGAAAGTGAGAAATAACCCCCCAGGGGGGGATGGCCATGCCATAATCCCTTCTTCTCCACTCTCCTCTTGGGATCTTGGGCACGCACACACATGCGTGCAGTATGAGTTTAAGCCACCAGGTTCGGGACTCAAACTGTGGTTGACTATATGGGAGTCCAGTGATATAGCCATTATGCCACCTGCTGGTCCCAAAACACATATATGTAAATAAAAGTTGTACATTTTTCAGACATTATTTTCTTCTGCTGAAGTATTCTTTTATCACTATAATTCAAGTTACCATTTTTACTCTTAAGGTTTTCCATATCTAATCAATGATTATTTCTGCAGTCTTTCTCATTTCCTTTAATATTGGAACACTTACTTTTTATTCATATTTTTACAATAGTCATTATACCGTACTTTCCATACTCCCTCCCTCCCCCCTTTTGAGAGGTTTTTGCTATAGGGTGAGTGTGCTCACCTGAGAGACAAAGAGAAAGTGAGAAACACGCCCCCCCAAGGGGGATGGCCACACTGCAATCCCTTCTCCTCCTGGGATTTTGGACATGCATGCACACATGCCCAGTGTGAGATTTAAGCCTACGGGTCTGGGACTTGAACTGCAATTTACTATGAGGGAGTCCAGCGATGTAACCGTTATACCATCTGCTGGTCCTGTCTTTCCTG